AAGGTGTAGACATAGGTTGTCATCCATCTCTGCAGAAAACACCACTATTGTAGATTGGCCTTTTGAGATTTCTTTTCAGGTTTTTTGCATGTCTGACACTCATGGCTCCACCTGAACCCACCAATCCCCTTCCTGTGGCCCCACACAGAAGCGATTCAGAGATTCAGCATGCAGGAGGACAACTTCAACCCTCTATGATTTCATCTCTGAAATCTCTGCCCCAAACAATCAGCAGCAAGCCTAGCCACTCTCACCTCTTCCCTCAAACTGCCTTGGAAAAAGTCCTAACCTATGAGCTTAGAGGAGATTGATTTCAGTACTAACTCTGTCTTCGGTGTGGCATGGCCAGCCCTGTGTTTGTTAAGCGCTTTCTTTACTGCAATGCTATGGTCTGTATTTGTGCAGCAGGCAGGAAGAACCCATTAGGTGGTTACAAAGAGGCACTACTATTTTCCTCCCCCAGCAGCCTACCTCTCTCACCTTGACCACCATCATCACTTCCGTTTTAACAGGTAGCATGGCTGTGGTTCAGGAAGTTTCATAGCAGGCAGCGGACAGCAGAAGACCACTGAGTGAGAAGTCATAAGAATGTTGAGAACAGAGAAAATTGGGGCTTGGAAAACATGCTGATTCCTCTGCAGTCCATTGCTGCAGTGGCTGGAATTGAGCAGTGTCCAGCAAGGAAGTCACTGGAGGAAAGAACCCCATATTTTCAAAAGCTGGTGCTACTGAAGAACTGAGACTCATGGACAGGTACCAGGTGGTGAGAATGCTTGCAGTTCAAAGTCACCCCTAAATCCAGGGTTTAATTCTTACTTCTCCTCTTGGGCTGTCAATAGCATCTGAAATAGGTGGTCATTACCTTCTGGAAACGCTTCTCTAGGTGGCCTTTGGGACATAATTATCTCTTGATTCTCCTCTTGCTCTTTCTCAGTCTCCTCTGCTGATCTGTCCTCATTTTTCTGACTTCTCAACATTGGAGTGCCCCAGAACTCAAGCCTGCAAGTTTCCTAATCTTGGCAAATGGAAAGTCTGTGCTCAGGCCACTTCAGTCAGGCCTGTCCCAAGACTCTGCCAAAGCAAGATGGACTGACCTTTAACCTGTCCCACACATGTCCTCAGGGAGATGGAGTCTTTCTGTGGCTATTCACCTAGCCATGCTTCACCTGGCTGCATTGTTAGAGAAGAAGTCGTTTAGAATTGCAATGACGTGGCCCGGGGCGGTGGCTCACGCCTGTAATCCTAGCACTTTGGGAGGCCAAGGTGGGTGAATCACCGGAGGTCAGGAGTTCAAGACCAGCCTGTCCATCATGGTGAAACCCCATCTTAAAAAAAAAAAAAAGAATTGCAATGATGTGTGCAGGAGTCACCTAAACCAAGTGACATCAGCATCATAAGGGGCATATTTCATCTCTCCTCCTCCCCATCCCTTTCAACCTCTCCTTTTCTGTTCAATGTCTGTTCTGTTGTAATCTGTATGTGGGCTCCTTTTATAAAGATTGTGAGTTCTTCTCTGAGTTGCTACAACACCCAGAATATTTCCTTGAGCAGAATAACTGAATAATTAGAGAATTTTTTCTTTAAGGATCCATTCTTACCTAGGAAATCCCACCCTGAGTATTTTATTTTGGTGAAGATGACAAAGAGGGGCTTGGATAAATTGAACCACATCAGTCTTTTTTCCAGAGGCATAAATGTGAAGAGGAAGAAGATGGGAAGGGACATACACGACTTCTTTTCCTGACTCCATCTGGTTCCATATTCGGGAAAATATCCCCACAGTTTTCTGCCTTTATTTTTGTTTATCATGAAAAATGAAACTACACTTAAGATGGGTCAGGATCTCACATACCAAGTAAACAGGAAATCAGAATTAGAATGCTTGGTATTTCAGGGTGAAGGCAGTAAGAGAGCCAGTGCTTACCTTTTTTCTTTTTTTTTTAAATTATGAAAATCACAAAGTAAGATAAAAATCCTTGCTCTTTGTCTTCTTAACACTGAAGATCTATGACATTATCCTAGTGGTTCCTTGCTGAAGCTTTGCAGAAAGAAAGATCAGTTTTTAAAACTGATACGGTATCCACAATTCCATATGTAAAAGGATTTAAGGATCACCAAACAGGGGTGGGCCCCAAAGCTTCACTGAGCCCTGATGAATGAATAGAACCACATTATAAGGTTCTCCAGAGAGTAGGGCAAGAGTTACCAGTTGTCTTCCCGAAATATATCAACAAGAATGCAGGCCTAATTAACGAAGCCCAAGGTTGATTTTTCTTGCTGCCTTTTTCTCTGAAAGACAAATAATAAGAAATGAATAAGGTTGAAAGCAAATGAAAACCATATTGGGGAAGTGAAGCCTAGTCAAACTTTTGGTTGGGCTCGTTGCAAACAGCTAAAGTTCTTTAATCATCTCATTGGAGATGTAGCCAAAAAATGCAATTTGAAACACACACACACAGACACAAACACACATGCACATCAACACACACATATACACATATTTCCACATCCACACCCTCCCCTCCTTTCACTGCAGATGAATCAAGATGGTGGAGACAGGACATGATCAGAACCATTCCTGCTGTCCACTTATTTTAGAAAGGACTTTGGCAATCAGTAATCTTTGCTGCCTTGGTTTGGGGCATCCATCTATGAATTCTTATTCTATAAATGTTCCCTGTGCATTGTGCATTGTGCTACAAGAAGCTAATAAGCAGCTGGATTTGGTAATTAATTGGGAATATACTAAGATGGCAAACTATTTAAGATCCAGATTCTTCTAATAGACAATTTTTCTAGAAGAAAATAAATTTGTTTGCGATTAAAAGAAAACTACTATCAGCCGGGTGCAGTGGCTCAAGCCTGTAATCCCAGGATTTTGGGAGGCAGAGGTGGGCGGACCACCTGAGGTCAGGAGTTTGAGAGCAGCCAGGCCAACATGGTGAAACACTGTCTCTACTAAAAATACAAAAATTAGCCGGGCGTGGTGGCATGCACCTGTAATCCTAGCTACTCTGAAGGCTGTGGCAGGAGAATTGCTTGAATCCAGGAGATAAAGGTTGCAGTGAGCCAAGATCATGCCACTGCACTCCAGCCTAGGCAACAGAGAGAGACTTTGTCTCAAAAAGAAAAAAATAAAATAATAATAATACACCTGAAGGTGAGAATGGAATGAGAAATGACAACTGTATTATAATTGAGATAGTTTCTTATTAGTTGACAAAATGATGAAACACATAGAGGTTTTCCTTGTGTCAGAGTCAGCCAGCTCAATCTGATACAGAGGCAGAACTCATAGCTGAATGCGGTGCTGTGATTTCATGATGGTTTAGTATGCATTCCCTTCCACTCTATCTCACAGTGCTTCAGAGTTTAAGGCTTGAAAAATTGCTATTGTCTTTGTTACCAGGGAGAGAGAAGACATATCTACCTGGCTTTATGGAAGTTGGATGGTGAGATGTGGACTTTTCAAATGAAGCCTTACTTAGATTGACATTAAATAAATCTGGTATATTGTAGAAATATTTTAACCCAACTCATGACATTTCCTTTTGTTAAAGGGAGCTCACCCCTGGCCTCTTCCTCTCCACTGCGTACCCTTCCATGGTAGATGGAGTGTCTTACCTGACTGATAGATCTGGGCATGCTCAGCTCAGCTCCGTGTTCTTTCCTACTGGGAGTAAGTTGCTTACAGAGAGAAAGCGTTTTATCTGCTCTTCTAGAGGAGGGTTTTTCCTTATTTGGGTTCAGCATTCAGCCCCCCTTATTGGGGGGCAGGCCACCTTGGCTAACAGATTGCCACATCCTCCAACCTGGCCTCTACCAGAAACAAAGAATATTTTGGTTTTCCATTTGCCAGTCCCGTGTCAATTTGTTCAGAGCATGGGCAAAGAGGGGAGCTATTTGTTGGGAATCCTTAGACGCCCCAACATGGTTTAGGCATCAAGCAAACTGAATGGAGAACTTGAACATTTTAGTTCTGATTCTACTTGTCTTTCCTTAGGTGTTTGAATTTTGGGGAGACATACAACATTTCTCTGCTTCTTCTTCTTTTTTTTTTTTTACTGCAGAAAAGTGATTTATTTAGGCAGAGAAAGAGAAAAAGGAGAGAGAAAAAGATGAGAGAGAAAGCTTCCACGAAGATTGTGGAAGGGGACCCGAAGATGGAATCCTGGAGAGGAAAGCAGCTTCCATACTGAGTGGAAGGGGACCCCGGAAGGGGAATCCCTTCATTTTTCTTTTTCTTTTTTTTTTTTTTTTGTTCTTTTTCCCACTTTATTCAGAATGTTCTGCCTTCAAGGTACTGATTGCACACAGGAAATGTACCAGGTATAGTGACTGAGCTGGGGCCAGCAATGGAGATGGAGCACCGCAGACCCTTAAGAGTTCAAGCCATGCTGGAGTGGGAAGACCTATCCACCTTCTGACCATACGAGGCAGAAGGCTTAGGGTCCCGGAGCCAGACTGTCTCCTGGTTTTCCTTGTGCTGATGGCAAAATACTAAACAGGTCTCCTCTCCTTCACTGCTAAGCCCAGGGATGCAGTCTTACTCCCTGGCACTCTGCTCTCTTCTAGAAGCAATAAGCCTGGCTGGTAGGGAATCACCACTTGCCCTATCTCCCAAAATACTAGAGGTGGGGTTGTCACCCTCCCCAGGCTCTGTGAGCCTGCGGAGCTAGCGCAGTCTCCAGGCAAGGCCCAGATGTCCTGGGACTTAGCTCGGGGAGGGAGCTATAGGCATGGGGTGCTCATCTTTCCTGGGGGCTGCAGAGCCCTGCCCCTTTTCCAGGCGGCAGTAGGAATGCAGAAGGTAAGCTCACCAAAATCCTATTGGTTAATGTTTCTAGTGAATTTCCCAGAAACATTTTTAAGTAGACTACCAAACTACCCTTTCTCAATTAAAAATTCATTAAACCACTAAAACCCCTCCCATGCACTTTTTCTTGCAAATCAGATATTTGTATAAACAAATAAAAATAGGAAGAAAAAAAAAGAAAAGATATTTTCAAATGGAACTTACTTTTTAAGTGATGAAGACATGCACTTGGGGGTAGGTGGGTGTGAGTTCTCATTTGTGTTTTGAAATCCCAAATTAATGAGCATGATAAACTGTTATTGCTGGCACTGGCTTTACCCCAAGTGGCCAAGTGGCACTGTCTGACTCTCTACTCTGAGTCCTTGGTGGGTGCCCCCAACCTTCCCCTAACCCCCACCCTTTCCCTTGCCATTGACTTGGGACAGCCCTTGTCGATGTGCCAATCACAGTGGGAAGGGGGAGAAGGGGGGAGGTCACAGTGCATGGGGTTCAAGGTCACAGTGGGCGGAGCAAGGGGGATCACAGTGCAAGTAAGTCAGGTCGTTCCCTCTGCTCAAGTCCAGCTGCCTGCCACGGCAGTGCAACCCGTGGCAGACGACCCAGGAGGCGGTGACGGCGGCGATGGTGGCATCTTTTCTTGCCTGCATTTATCTGCGCTGTTTGAAGCCTTGTGACCCATCAGGACCCAAAGGCTGTCTGATCACATTATTGGGCTGCCTGCTGTCTTCAGGTTGGGAGATCCTAGTTGGCTTGTCGAGGATGGGTTTCTCCTGCCCCTCCTCCGGGCTGGCGCTGCCCAGGATCCGCTTCCCGGCTTCGGTGTACTCGGCCTCCGGCTGTGCTAGGGACTTGACCGGAGGGGCGGGCCTGCTGGTGGAGTTGGGGCTGTTGACCACACCGTTGCTGGTGGGCCTCTTGAGGATTCGGATCTGTGGAGGGGGTCCCGCGGGAAGGCTATCGTCCTGAATCACAATGGGCACTTTGGGAGGAGATTTGGATTTCCCCGCTGTGGGCCGCCTCTTCCCAGCTCTCAGCGACCTCCTCATCTTCCATCTTACTCGCCGCCTTCCCTCCTCCCCTCATTTTTCTTAAATGTAGAACTAGTTCATAAAATCACTACTCTACAATTACACAGTAGTTTTCCCTTTATCTGTGGAGGATATATATTAAGACCACCCCCCCCTCCCACCCAGTGAATGCTTAAAACTGCAGCTAGCACCAAACCCTATACATACTGTGTTTTTCCATCTGGTAACTGAGAGAGCTGTTAAGTGACTCACATGTAAGTGGGTAGCATGTACAGCGTGGACATGCTGAACAAAGGCATGATTCACACCATGGGCAGGACGCACTGGGTGGCGTGAGATTTAATCACACGAGTCAGAATGACATGCAGTCTAAAACTTATGAGTTGTTCATTTCTGAAGTTTCCCATTTGCTATTTTCAGACTGTGGTTGACCATAGGTAACAGAAACAGTGGACAGCGGATAAGGCGGGACTACTGCATGTGCAGTAGAGTGCCACGCCACGACATATTTATATAACGCAGTGTATTGTTGGAGACTTTTTTCTAGCCAGAGAAACTTTCATGGCTCTATAAAGGCATGGCCTGAAAAATACCTGGTAGTTACATAAGAATTGGCTGATCAGATTATCATCTCCGGGATAAGGATATACATACAGTTACTTCATGGCTAAAAGTTCTGAAGTAAAACGTGTAGGATCTTTGTATATGTACGTGTGTATGTATGATTAAAAAGACTTTATAATTTATATAATCCAAACTTTTTCTTTCTGCAGCTTATAATGTAAATTTTGCTATTTGACTTTCACCAGAATTGCTTCCTTTAATATGCAAATTTAAGGCTATTTAGCTGACAGCTGCCCAGGGTGGTAAAACAGGTTATCAAGAATCTGAAAGTCTAAGATAGGGGAAAAAAATGTTTTTATGGATGTATAAAATGTATCGGTATGCCTAATATGTCTCTGTATTTACGTGTTATGTACACAATGTTTCACTACTTAAAAAATATATAAAAGAGCTCTAATTAATTGGCTTAAAAAAGTGCTTGTATCAGATAATAAAACAGCAAAGACTAGTCAAATGCTTTATCAAGTTTATGCAACTTAAGTCAAATCTTTAATAAGCTAGCTTTAAAGTTATTGGTAATGTGAGAAATATCTTAAGGATTGCCAGCATACATTTTTATTTGCATTTTTTAATCACGTAATTTCATTCTTATTCATTCCAAATACTATAAGGTGTCAAAATTTGGCACAAGGTTACAAAACTATAAACTCAGCCTTAAAGAGAATGATCTTTGCTTTTATAATTTTTAATAAGTAAGACATTGATATTGGTTTAATGAAAATAGCTGCATCTTAAATTTAGTCTGATTACTAAAGTGCTAATCTTGTGGCTTTAGGCAGTCTAGTCCACAGGCAATAAGGAGGTTTGTTTTGAGAAAAGACTATTATTGTCTTTGTTTCAAAGCTAAACTATAAATTAAGTTCCTCCTAAAGTTAATTTGGCCTGTGCCCAGGACTGAACAAGGATAGCTTGAAGGTTAAGAGCAAGATGGAGTCAGGTCAAATCTTTTTTTCACCATCTTGGTTATAATTTTACAATGGAGGTTTTATCACTTTAAATCACGACTCTCAGAGTTTTCATAAACAATCTAGGCAAATAAAATAAAATAATTAGGTAAATGTAGTGGAGTAAATACTTGTAGACAAACTGGTCATAATTTAGTATATAAAGTTATATTAAATTAGAGATATTTTATTATTTGGGTATTTTCCAATAAACATACATTGCAGGAAAACATTCTTGCTAAAAAAAAAAAGTATCCTTTTTTAAAAGAAAAGTGAACAAATTTTTGTCTAATTCAAAGCTGATTTAAAGGTTATATATAAAACAAGGTAAAAGAAACCAGAAAATGTAAAGAGATGTAAAGAAAGTTATAACAATAAAGAGGATTTTTTTGTGTGTGGTAAGAAAGCTTAAAGAGAAATAATTTTATATGAGAAAAAATCTTGTATGGTAAATGCAGTTTTAAAATAAAATAATAGAATGACTGGTTGTTTAAGAAGGAGCGATGCCCAGGACGGACCAGAAAGTCCGAGAATGTCATGAACGGTAGGCATAAGTCACAATAAGAGGATTTATATTAAAAAACTTCTTTAATATGATCAAGTTGTCATATTATTTTTAAGTTTCGTTTTGCTTAGGAAAAAAAAAAACAGACATAAAATCTTTTTAAAATTCAGGTTATTACATCCAGGTATCTTCCTGTATGTGCTTTCAAAGTCCTTGTAACATTGAGTTACAGGACTTTGACTCCTGGGTCTAAAAAGGACACCAAGTTCAACTAAATCTTAAACATCGACAACAATTAAAGCTTCATCTTCAGGCCCCATAGACGATGTCAATCAAAATCAACTGCATTCCTGAGACATGGGCAAGAGATTAAAGCTATTCACCTCCTCAAGACCCAAGGACTATTGAGGAGGAGGTGAGCATGAAAATTGAAACAGTCAATTCGGAAAGATAAAATAAGTTCAGATTCCCTGTAAGTTAATCATTAATGTCAAAGGCACACTAATGTAAGACCAGCATACTGGCCCCTGTGTCAGATTAACAAGGTCTTCTTGAAGCATTAACCAACTCCTATATAAAGGTTATAAAGGTTATGAAAGGCTTCTGGAAACTATATCTTACAGTCAAGATTAAAATTTTATAGATTGTTTATAAAATTTTGAAAAAACTTAATTGGCTTCATGCTGTTTTTATTAGGGCTTATTGTTTGGAAAATTAAGCCTTCTCCCTCAAAGAATAAGTGTCTTTGCCTTTTTTTTTTTTAAAGGCAAAAATAATGAGGCAAAAATATTTCAAGTGATAATTCCTTGAATTATCACTTTGGTTAAATAAATGACTATTTTACTATGACCTGTGATCCTATTTCGTGATATCAAGTGTTCAAAACCTCTAATGTTTAACAAGCTTTCCAAAATCAAATTACAAATCATGTTTTTTTATGACCTAATTAATTCTTTAAGATATTAGGGTCCCTCAAGCCCAAAAAATACCACATAATTTGGCTTATCTGGTACAAAAATATGTAGAAAACGTTGTCAAATATGAAATGGTGTTTGGTTCCCTTTGGGTTATATGTGTATAAATAGGTTATTGTTATATGTTCCAAAATTATGGAAAACTCCTATAATTCTAATATAACTTAGTGTACATTTTCAGTAATGATCATAATTGTTATGTTAAAACTATTGTGTGCTACAGAGGTAACAAATTTTCTTGCCAATTGTGTCTTTGACTATGGATACCCTAAAACTTTTTGTCATCCATGGACAATTGTTTTGTTTTGGTCCTCTTTAGAAGGTGGTTTAATAATCGGCTATAAAGCTCTAACAGGTGCTCTTGAATGTGGGGTTTCCAATAACTTTGGAGAGTGTGACATCAGAATAGAGGAAAAACTTTCAGGACTCGGGGGGAGCTAAAACATTCATGAATATCAAGAAGAAAAGGAATAAACTTCATGGACTGAACTAATCTTTTTGACTTTTTACTCAAAACGTTTTCTGATCCTTTGTTTTGTTTTTCAGAGTCTTAAAACTTTTATGCTGTTGACAACTTTTAAGAACTCAGTATATACCTATGAACAAAATTTGGAGCATATTTGTTTGTCTCTACCTGATTTTTTCAGAATTTGGAAACTATTTGTAAATATTCTTAACGGCAATACAGTTATTTGTGTAAGTGTAATAAGAATCTGTTTTCATTTGCAGCAGGACACAAGTGGAGAAACTGATTATTTCATCAAGGGTTTGACTGGAATGTTGTGCTTTCCTTTAAGGAATTGAACTTGACATACGGAGCCAATAAAGGCCTTGGAAAAACTGGCCTCATATTTTGTGTACAGGGTTTCTGACCTGTGGTAAATAAAGAATGTCACTTTCCAACAGGCCCAGAATCCCCAGCTTTATCTTGGAACCTCAAGAGGAGAGGAAATTCACCCACCTCATAGGTATTTGATGACACAAATTCGTGGCTGGTTTGGCTTTTAAAAGACTCATCTGAGATTCTTCCTATGGAACAAGTCCCATCAAACTCAATTTAAAAGCCTATGTTAAAAAAAAATATATATATATATATATATTTGTATTATATATATATTTATTATATATATAATTTGTGATATATATAAAATTTATATTTATATATAATATAATAAATTATATTTGTCAATTTATTTTATATATATTTATTATATATATATATTACATATATACATAATTGCCACATTGTATACAAATAATTAGGCCAGGTAGAATAAAGCAAACCAGTCCCACCATAATGTGTCTTCAGTAAAAATGAGAAGCTGGAGAGGGAAAAATTGTGTTTCAAGATGATAGTACACCTGTTGTTAGATTGTAGTTTTGCCTAATATTCTTTTTGATTTTTATTATTTTCTACAGTTTGAACTGAATACTAATTTTTCTTGGCTACAAGTCTTCAAAATAATGTTTTCCATTTTTCCTTCTTTTTTTTCAATTTTTTTCTAATTTGGAGTCACTGAAAACTAAGCTTTGCTTTCTTAAAACCCTGTGAACTGAAGCCAGACAACTTAACCTTCAGAGGAATATAATGGCAACCTGTTTACGTACATAAGCCCCTTTCATATCTGCCTGCTAATGTGTGGACTTCAGAGGAATGCAGCCTATATAAATTTTTCCAGGATTGTTTTTTGTTTGTTGTTGTTGTTCTCCATTCCTTCCTCCATTTTCTCTTCGAAGGACACGAGACTTCACAACCTGCTAACAATGAGCTTCTAGGACCTGCCCATCTAGGAATAAACAGTCCTAGCCTTAAAAAATCAGATGAAAGCTGAGACCAGAGACTCATTTTCTTCTAAAATGGTTTCTCCAAAAGATTTTTGAAAAGAAAAGAGGGGAAATGTTAAAGGAAAATATCTTGAGCCTCTTCAAGCTGGGAACGACTCAAGGCAAATCTGTTTCCCATTCTATTCAGTTATTC